CCTCGCGACGGCTTGGCAAGAGGAGTTACTTCCGAGCAGTCCGCAGTCCTCCACCCTCCGCGGCCGGCGGGACTTTACTCCCGAGGAAGACCCGAGGAGTGTCGGAGCCGCCGCCACCAGGCCCACCCGCGTTGACTCATCTCCCCCCCCACTCTCCCCATTACGTTTCCCTTGGCAGGGGTGGGGGGGGGGAGAAAGAGAGGCTTACTTTTGAGTAAATGCGCTTCCTCCGGAGGCGGGTGGGTGGGGAGGAGGCGGAGGCCAGGGCGCGCCTTGCTCGCGAGGAGGCCGCCTTGGCCAAGCTCCAGCCCAGCGTACGGAAGCTTTGCCTGGAAAGGTGCTGCAAATTATTTTAAATACCTCGCTCTTATTTATTTGATTTCTGTATCATCCTGTTTAGCGTAAAGCATTATTCTGGGCGGTTTACGAACAATGGAGACAATAAACAATCAGTAGGCAAGAATTAAAGCCTTAGCAGAATAGTAACACAAGGCATAGTAAGGATGGCAATCACCTTATACTACAATACTACTGTATATCTTTTAATATTTCTGGAAATATCTCTGTTTATTCAACGCCAGATATTTAATAGAAAAAATTTAGTCGCGAAGAAGTGAGGCATATCAGCAGGACCTGAACTGAGTTTTATACTGAACGGTACCCAGCCACAGGCGGATACACACAAGTTAACAAAAGCGACAATCCAAGTTCCGTCGATCAGTGCAGAGGCAGGAGAAACCGCTGCGTCTTATTAAAGCGACTGCGATAGAGAGGGAGGGTGTGACGTCATTAGAATGCGCCCCCTGAGTTAAGGCTGTTTCTTGCTGCCGGAAGTAGTGCAGGTGGAGTGAGAAGGGTTTGTTCGGGGTCGAGGCGATTCCTGGTTGGCCTTTGGGGATCTTGCACGTGCAGATGCGAGTAAGTATGCGTGTCTGTTGCGTGTCTTCTGATTTACTTCTGTCAAGGCGGAAGAACTTCTTCGCCTCATTGCCCTTCCTCGCCTTGGTATTTAGTTATACAGTATTCCTCTTCCCCCTCCTCCCCCATCTCTAGTCGAGATCTGGAGAGAGATATAAATTTTCGTAGGCCATTGGAAAATTCGCCTTTCAACTCTTGTTATAGACCCGAACCTATTGGAAAAGTCTAGGGGGGAGGTTAATATAAACGAGTAAATAAAACTTAAGGGGTGAGTTGTGGTAGCTGCATCACAAAAGAGCCAAGCGTCTTGTGGCATTTTTGAAGTTTGGCAGTTTTATATTCTTTCCTGAAGGAAGACAAGTGTTTGAAAAATTGGTGTTATGAATGGCAGGGCGGAAATCAAAGAGTTGCTGCCAAATCCTCTAATAAAACCATTAAAAGAAAGACATTGACTCAGTAATGTTAAGACTGTAATCAATACTGCAGTTATGTGGTGTAACTAGTATTGATTGCAGTCTTAAAGAAAAGGTGATGCAGCACAGCATATAATCCTTGATAATGTCCCTTTACCATTCTGGTGCATCTGCCTATCATTTGGTATATATGACAAGTGAGTTGTGTTAACTGTTGGACATGTTCTTTTTGCTTATCTGAATAACAGTCTTTTCATTTTAGATATATACTCATAACATACTATTTTCTGTGTGATGCATTAATTTCTATGCATTGGTGACTTTAATGTTATAAATATGCCATGGGGTGGGAAGAGTATTCCCCTTTCCTAGTTATCAATATTCGGTGACTGACTGGGATTAATTTTTAGATGTACCTTTCTTTTCTTAGTGATGTTACATATTCTGTTTTGCATGCAGTTTCAGCAGTTGAAGTCGTACAAAATAGATCTTACAACTCATAGCATCTTCAGAAAAGACCCACTCAGATACATAGAAGGCTCATGTCATCAGGAATGCCTCCAGAAAGTGTTACAGCAACCAGCAACAGTGATGTTCAATCAAAAACAACATGTAGCATTGATCAGATGAAAGCCAAAGACTTGGTGTTGGAAAAGGTGGACAATATTAAAACCATGTCAAAGAGACAAAGGAAGAAGCTAATGAAACAGAAACAGTGGGAAGAACAGAGAGACTTGCGCAAGTATGTTTTTTTTTCTTGGCAATAATTGGCTTTTTTTGTTTTGGCACCTATGGGCAAATTTACATTTCCTCCTTGTATTGTTATAAAATAAGAGTTTAAAATGGTGGTTAGGATGGCATGCTGTATCTTTTGTTTCCATTACAGCGGGGAGAAAGGAATAAATGTACGTAGTGAACCAATGCCTGTTTAGACATGAGATCTCTCTCAGCCCTTGTGATAAAAATGTCCAACAAGCTGCTATTAAATACATGAGCACACATATCTGTTTGATATCACACAGTACAAGTGGTCTACCCCTTTGGTTGTTTGGATCAATGAGATAGTGGCCAAATATCTATTAGGCTCATGCACCGTAAATCCAAAATTATATCACTATTCCAATTATAGACAGTTGATCCATTTGCCTGTCAGACATTTGGGTCATGAACTCAGTCATGTGTTCAGTTGCAGTTCAGTGGTGCCTCGCTTAACGACGTTAATTCGTTCCAGCAAAATCGCTGTAGAGCGAAAACGTCATAAAGCGCAAATAAAAAACCCATTGAAACGCATTAAAACCCGGTTAATGGGCTAAAAACTCACAGTCCAGCGAAGATCCTCCATACGATGGCCATTTTCGGTGCCTGTATAGTGAGGAATCCATCCCTAAGCACAGTGGGGAGCCATTTTGAAAACCCGATGATCAGCTGTTTTGATCGTCGTAATGCGAAGAATCGGTTCCGGAAGCAGGGAACCGATCTTCACAAAGCGAAAAAACCCCATTTAATTGCGATCGCAAAAGCATCGTCATGAAGCGGATTTGCCGTAATGTGGGGTAATCATTAAGCGGGGCACGACTGTAGTCTGAAAATTATTGAAACCACTTGCTCAGTTACCCTTGCACACAAAGTGTTTTGTGATATGATTCTGGCCAGGAGATAAAGTTGCACTGGTTCCTACTGAGACCCAGAAGTCATTTGTGGAGTAGGAGTAGTATAGCACCGTACAATGTACTAACAGTTGGATATTTGAAAATGCCAATGTTTCAGGCAGAGACGTAAAGAAAAACGCTTGAAAAGAAAACTGGAACGCCGGTCTCAATTGGAATCAAGCAATGAAGGAAGTATCAAGAAACAGATGCGTAGAGATGTTGTCCCTAGTACACTTCGCCTTATTATAGACTGCAGTTTTGACCGTTTAATGGAGCTAAAGGTAAATTGAAGTAATATATGTAGAAGCAATTTATTCAGGGTGCTTTAGTTTGGCTATTTTTAGAGCTTTACTAAGATATGGAGACAAATCAATATGGAATCAGCTGTTAATTCACAGAAAATGTTTTCAAGGAGTGATTTTTCACTCTGCTAATGATGGCTTTATATTGATGCTGTGTTATATTACACCAGAGTAAGACCAAGTTCTTGTAGAAATCTTTCTTTGTAGTTAATGTGGAAAATACTTAGTGCTAGATACCTGGCAAACATCACAGATACCCAGTAAACCTCAGGAAGTTTTCGTTACTTAATGTTTTAAGATTGTTTCTATACTTTAGTCTAGGAATGAAAATGTTTATTCTCTTCCCATAATTCTATAGCATTTAATGACTAGGAGCTGGAAATATAAAAAGATACTATAACAAGGATGCTATAGCAGTATAGGAGCCTCGTGGCGCAGTGGTTAAATCGCTGTACTGCAGCTAAAACTGTGCTCACGACCTGGGGTTCAAATCCCAGGTAGCCGGCTCAAGGTTGACTCAGCCTTCTATCCTTCCGAGGTCGGTAAAATGAGTACCCAGCTCGCTGAGGGGGCAATGTGTAGCCTGCATAATTAAAATGTAAACTGCCCAGAGAGTGCTTGAAGCGCTATGGGGCGGTATATAAGCAGCATGCTTTGCTTTATTACCATCATGTGTATTTATATTTAGAAGCAAATCCCATTCATTTCAGTGAGACTTACTTTCAAGTAAGCCAGCACAGGTTTGGTTGCTGTGGATTTTTCTGACAGTTTTTCTTCCTAATGTTATGCCAGTCTCTGTGGCTGGCATCTTCAGAGGATAGGAGCTAGAACTCTGTCTGTGTTCTGGTGTAGTGTGTGGGTTTACCAGCAAAAACAAGATAATTTTTTTAAAAAAAAAATCTGACTGTGAAAGTGGACTCGTCTATGAAAGCTCACATTAAAATATAGCAGTTAGTCTTTCAGATGCCATATTTTTTGTCTCTTAATTATCTCTTCTTTAAAAAGCACAGGTTTGTCAGTGTACTTCCTTCAAACTGACTTGTAGATTAGGTTGACCTTGTTATTAAGTACGCTAGCAAAATTAAGCAGGGACAGGGGAAAAGAGAAAAAAAGGCAAAATATTGTGGCACTTTAGAGACTAACACATTTGTTTCAGTGTGAGTTCTCATAGATCAAAATCTCCTCCAGACAAAAGGAGTAAAAATAGATGACCTGTATATTTATGCATACCCCCATGGTGGGGAGCATCATGACCAGGTAAGGATACTAATGAAGTGACAATCCTTTGCTAACACAGGAATGGGACTGTCAGTTACTTGAGGTTTTAGTCAGGGTGATAAACTGTATGTCAGGTAGATTTAACTCTCCATGGAAATAGTAAGCATTGTTTCTAAGACATATATCAAAAGAGGACAATTATTTTATATCTGTAAGATATTACAGAAAGCCAGATTATAAATATTTGTAGTCTGTTGAGAAACCGTGATCTCTATTTAGGCCATTAGAGACACATTGGAACTTGTTTATGTAGACAGTTTCTGCTGTCTCACTCCCGCAATTCCCTTTTTAATTCCTTTTTTTCTACAGTATCCTTTTTAAAATTGATCATGACTTTCACCACCATAGGGATATGTATTTGCACTCCTTTTGTCTGAAAAGGTGGATTTTACAAAAGTCCTCACTGAAATAAATCTGATAAAATGCTACAACATATTACTTCTCTCTGTCTTATTATTTCTTGTTTCCCTTTATTTTTGCCAATCTGATGAGATAGACTAACATAGCTACTTTTAGGAGCTTGTTTTAATCATAATTTTTGTATGATGAGCTAGTACTGCATAAACGATATGTGGGAGAAGGGAATTTATAACTGTAAGGCTTACAGACTTTCTTTGTGTTGATATAACACATCTCTCTCCAGAATAATTGTCCTGTTTTAAAATACCTTTGTTAGTTAAAAGTGTCCTTTCTCTCTCTTTAGCGTCTCTCTTGGTTAAAGCGTTTTGTGATGCTTTCTCTGAAGGACAATATAAAAACAAATTGTGTTGTATACAGGATGTCAAGAAACTTCACAAGCAAATTCAGAGGTGTTACGCAGAAAATCGTAAAGCACTCCATCCTGTGCAGGTATGCCAGTGCAATTTTTTCCTTGTTCCATTTTGTTGCCACGGATGTGGTGGCACTGCGGGCTAAACCACAGAAGCCTCTGTGCTGCAAGGTCAGAAGACCAGCAGTCATAAGATCGAATACACTCGATGGAGTGAGCTCCCGTCACTTTGTCCCAGCTCTTCGCCAACCTAGCAGTTCGAAATCATGCAAATGCAAGTAGATTAATAGGTACCACCTCAGTGGGACGGTAAAACGGTGTTCCCTAGTCACGCTGGCCACGTGACAACGGAAACTGTGTTCGGACAAGCGCTGGCTCTACGGCTTGAAAACGGGATGAGCACCGCCCCCTAGAGTTGGACACAAGTGGACTAAAAATGTCAAGGGGAACCTTTGTTGCTTAGTCGTGTGCAAAAAATAGAATTGCAGCTCTTACTAAAACGAAATTCAGTCTCAATCTCCAATACAGATGAAACTTTACAATATTTTTGTCACATGTTTTAAACATGGTTAACGTTTACGTTTGAATATGGAACCAAACAAATGTCTGTGTATTCCTAATTTAAGTGTATTTTGTATCATAATGGTTTTCTTAGAATCTTAGAACTGCAGAGCTAAAAGGAACCCTGTGGATCATCGAATTCAGCCACCATCAAGGAGGCACAGTGGGGAATCAAACTCCCAACCAGTGGCTCCACAGCCAGATGCCTGAACCATTGAGCTATCCAGCAGTTGTTGATGATTAACTTTTTTTCCTGCAGAGTACAGATATGTCTAGAATGTAATATCTATTTGAGGTTCTGGTTCTAAGTAGTCATTCACATGACTGCTTAGTCTTTCATATAAAACTAGAAGAATAAAAATGCATTTGGACAACTTCAGAATAATATTTGCATAGAAAGTATAAGAGAATGGTTAACTGGGAGTTAATATTAGCAATTATGATTCTTTTTTTTCTCTTTCCATCTCCCAAAGTTTTATTTGACCAGCCATGGAGGCCAGTTGAAAGACAACATGAATCAGACTGACAAAGGTTGGGTAAACTGGAAGGTAAAAGCAATTTAAATGCATGCCTTGACTAAGCTTTGACATGATTGATGTTTCTTCATGAAAAATGTTAGACATTTTCAAAATAGAAGTGAAAAACCAATCTCTCCCCCTGTTTTTTAAGTGGATACGAACTGAGGAATTTTTCTTTCGTACAGCTAACTACCTCACTGTTGGCTTATGAGATTGTGTTTGTAAAGTCTTCACCTTGTGCTTATTTATCTGAACTGATGAAGGTGTAGTTGAAGGCAGGAGGTAGAGTTCCTGTAATGATAGGTGAAGCTGGCCAAGCCGTTGTTGTTGTTTTTAAGAGTACTATGTTGCCAAAGTGCATAGAGTTATCTACAGAAGGATCTTGTCACAGCTTTTGAATTAGAGATCCAGAAAGTTATACCCTGTTTCCCCGAAAATAAGACCTAACCTGAAAATAAGCCCTAGTATGATTTTTCAGGATGCTCATAATATAAGCCCTACCCCAAAAATAAGCCCCAGTTAAGTAAAACCCCGCCCTCCACCATTGTGCAGCAACCAGAAGGAGATGACATGACTGTAAAATAAAACATCCCCCCAAAATAAGCCGTAATGCGTTTTTGGAGCAAAAATGGATATAAGACCATGTCTTATTTTGGGGGAAACACGGTATTATTTTGGAGGCTAGTTGTCAGCCAAATTGCTGCTCTATTTCTAGCCTAATTGCAATTGTTTCTTGATTAGGAAGTGACTTGGTTTGGTTTACAGCAATGGTTCTCAGCCTTGGGTCCTGCCAAGATTTCTGGGACTTGTAGTCTTAAGAATATCTGGGCACCCAAGGTTGGGAAACTATAGTCTACAGATTCTTTTTGAGATAGACAAATTGACTTTTGCCTTACAAGTGGGGTTGGGAATTCTATGTAGACTCCTCAATAAATCTGGTGTGATTATACTGGATAATTAATTGAACTTTGGTCTGAGAATGATGTGTTGAGATCCCTCTCTGGCGGTAGGGCTTAACAGATACATTATTGACCCAATCAAATGGGATAGATCCAAACATTTCATCCTTAGCTCTTTCAGAACCAGCTTGGCACTTTCCAAATGTTTTTGAATACAGTGTCTCGGCAGCATGGCTGAGAGTCGGGAATGATAGTAATTGTAGTGTGAAACGTATTTGAGGGCATCAAGTTTGTGAAACCAGCTTTAAAGAAAGCAGTAGGTGCAAGTGTGTTAAATAATCTTAAAAAGTCACTGACTAGATCCTCCTTTTCATAACTAGCATTGACCAAAAAGCTCTTATAGCCATATTTACAACATTGCTGCTGTTCATGTCTTACATTAGAATCAAGATGAGTCTGAAAAACACCTTATATAACCTGAAGGTCTTTGGGTTTTTAAAGTTAGTTTCTGTATGTATTTATGTCTTGAAGGACATTCACATTAAATCAGAGCATTATAGTGAGCTGGTGAAGAAAGAAGATCTTGTATACCTTACATCAGACTCTCCCGATATTCTGAATGACCTAGATGAGTCTAAAGCCTATATTATAGGAGGATTAGTGGATCACAATCATCACAAGGTAATTTAATAGAGACTGCAATCCTGTGCATGCTTAGGAAGAAATCGTGACTTACCTTTTTAAATTAAGAATGTACAGGATGTTATAGAACTTAATTCCTTTAAGTTGTTATTTTGTATTCTAATTCCATTACACCACACAGGTAGTTTGTTGTTTTCCTGGACATCTGGAGGAACATCTAAAGAAATAATGGACTTCTAATCTCTATGTCACTTTATTGCTTCTCACTTTCAAAGCAATCAGACATTTTAACAAGGCTTGTTTTGGAGCCTTGGAGCAGAGATTTTTTTTCTGCCCACTTCTGTGGCTTTCAATAGTTTTTACCTCAGCTTGTATTCTAGGAATGCAAGTTCTTTGTTATGGATTATATTTAGAGTTGGGTAGTTACTGTCGCCTGCCGAGTCAGCACAATTCAGAGGATTGGACCCACAGGTGTTGCATGGGCGCCCTGGATTCCATTCCCATTGGCGCCCACTCAGAGGAGGAGGGGGCAGGGCAGGGAAGCCTGTAGTGCTTCTTTCGACAGGTCGTTCGCGGGAAGAGGTAAGGCGTGGAATCTGGGGTCCCCACAAAATACCTGTGGGACCGGTCCTTAGACCTGCGCTGACCTGCTGAACCATGGTAAATGCCCATCTCCAATTATATTCAAAAAAAGAGATAACAAACTATGACTTTAAGTGGATATGCTTGAAGAGATGTACTCACTTTCACCTCGTGATTATGACAGGTGGAGAAGAAAATGGAGGACAAATTACTAGTATCCTAGTGCTCCATTTTAAGACAAGTCCTTTTGTGGGTGTGAGAATGGAGAGAAAATTAGCTGGGGAAACAAAGATGTTAAAAAGCCAGGCTGTTCTCTAATGAAGCCTTGTGTAAGATGCTTAGAGTATGCTGAACTGTCTCTATAAGTGGGTTGATCAGAAACATTTGAAAGAAGTGTGCAGTTTTAAATGGTGGCTTTAGCCCCCCGAAACCATTCCCTTCATAAACTTGATAATCCTGTATTCATGACTTATGCTATTTTGGATGACTAAAATAGCTACAGCAGTGTCAGCAATGCATCGCTGGCTGCCAGAGCTATTAGCAGACCATCCTCTGTGATTCTGTTATTTTTAATTATGTTTATGTAGTCGCTGACCAAGGATAAACTCCCAAGTAATGAAGTCCCCAATAAAAGCGTTTATGACATAAGTAGACAAGGTGGACAAAAGCTTAGAGGGAAATGTTTAGAATGTGCCAGTATGGCAAACTGTTCAATGTTTGCCATGTTTATTATTGTTATCCATCACCATCTTCTTCCTGAGCTCCCTTTAGAAAGTTTTAATAGCTTTTTTGGGATTCTCAATAATCTGCTGTTCAGACAGAGATTCAGGCCACACCCTTTTAGCTTCTTCAGGATGATTTTTAAAACTTCTGTTGACTGTATGTGCTTAATAATAGTTTTTATTTATTTGTTTTCCCTTTGTTTTTAACTTCTGTATGAGCAATCGGTTCTGTTTATTTGTAAGTGGATGAATTTGGGAGCTTTGGTAGTAGAAATGTGCATAGTGGCGACAGAAATAAGGAGGCAATATCACATGGATCCCGGAAACTAATAAGACATCTTTCTGTAGACATACAGTGATATAAAAACCAGGGTGAAGATAGTAAGACTTCTTAACTTTGCCTGGAGCTCTCAGGGGATTTTGAGTGGTGCCTCGCATTATGACGTTAATTCATTCCAGCAAAATTGCTGTAGAACGAAAACGTCGTAATGTGAAAATTAAAAGCCCATTGAAACGCATTGAAACCCCTTCAATGTGTTCCAATGGGCTGGAAACTCACTGTCCAGTGAAGATCCTCCATAGGGCAGCCATTTTCGGTGGCTGTCTTGCGAGGAATCCGTCCCAGAAAACAGCAGGGAGCCATTTTATTTATCCGGCGGCCATTTTGAAACCACTGATCAGCGGGAACCGATCATCGCAAAGTGAAAAAACCCTATTCAGACCATCGTTTTGCGATCGCAAAAACATCATATTAATGCGGTTTCGTCGTAATGCGGGGCAATCGTAAAGCGAGGCACCACATTACGCATTTCTCATCAACTATGACTGCCTTACTTTTTCTCTTCCCCTGCTTTTTCAGGGAATAACATACAAAAGAGCACAAGAAGAGGGCATCCGCCATGCACAACTTCCGTTAGGTGTCTTTGTGAAAATGAACAGTAGAAAAGTTCTGGCAGTTAATCATGGTAAGAATTAAGCTAAGATATAAACGATCATTGAAGACTTGGCTCTTCCGTCAGGTTTTCCTGGAGCATTAAGATCTCGGCCTCCCCTTTACCATCCTTTGTGTCATCATCTCCATCCACCCTTTTTACCACCTTTATTGCCATCTGTTTTAATTTACCCTGTTTGGCTTGTATTAATTTGTTCATTTTTATTGTGTTTTAATATTGTTGTTTATGCTGTTATTAGCCGCCCAGAGTGGCCTGGTTGCCAGATGGCGCGGAGTACAAATTTAGTAAATAAATAAATAAATTATAAAGATTGGTATAAATATAAGGATGCATCTATCCAGAGGTTATTATTTATTTTTCTTTTAAAAGTGGCTGGTTTATGAGGGGTACTTGGCACTTTTATCCTAATTTGTGATTATGTATCCATTTAAGATAGCTGCCATCCATTCTATCATTCAGCCACATGTATTTTTGACTTTCCATCCATATATTCTTGGTTATCCTACCACTGGCAGTATCACTTCATAGCAGGAAGCAGTCATCAGTACAGTAGCATAACATAGCTTCTAAACATAATATAGATAGTCAATTTGTGTGTGATAGATTGTAAAGATCTGTAAATGAGTTGATTCTAAGCAGTCTCATAATTTTCTTCTTGATTTGGGATGCTAGCTTCCAGACTTGAGTTCATAAATAAAAGAGACTTTCACCATCACTACTTAGTGCTGACATTTTTGATAGCAGGTTGTATTTTTGTCCATTCAACTTCAGCAGTAATCTCGTAGTTATAATGTATATAACATGAATAAATCAGTCATGCAGTTGAGACAATATGCTTTACACTTCATTTCCCCCCAATTAGGTAAAGGTAAAGTTTCCTCTTGACATTTAGTCCAGTCGTGTCCGGCTCTAGGGCGCGGTGCTCATTCCCGTTTCCAAGCTTTTTGTCCAAAACTGTTTCCGTGGTCACCTGGCCAGTGCAACTAGACACAGAACGCTGTTCTGTGTATAGTCCCCAATTAATTTGTTATAATAGATGATCAATTAGATTTACCAGCTAATGTAACTTAGTTGCTATATCAATTTATATACTGTTAAAGAATTGTTTTTTTAAAACTAGATATTTATCTACTCCCCCCCCTTAATTTTGAGCACATTCATGTATGTTTAATATTGCTGGTATCTCTTTATTTTCTTTCTTTTTATAGGAAACGTACATATAATTTTAAATATCAAGTAATTGTCTAATACTGTATTTATGGAATTGTAGATTTAAATATTCTATAAATTTCAATTTATAGAATTCAGTTCAGCTATGAAATATTAGAGGAACCTCATGTACCTTCAAAAGAAACATCATGCCCTTTTTATATTAACAGTAACTGAAAAAGCTGTATAGGAAAATCTGTAAGATAAATATGCCATACTTTAGTTGTTGAAACTTACTGTGGTGGTCAACAAAAAATTATACAGTGGTGCCTCACTAGATGATGATAATCCGTTCCACTGAAATCGCTGTTTAGCGAAATCATTGTCTAGCAAAAAGCATTTCCCCATTGGAATGCATTGAAACCTGTTTAATGCATTCCAATGGGGAAGAATCGTCGTTGTCTAGCGAAGATTGGCCATAGGAAAGCTGCTTTACGAACTGCTGATCAGCTGTTTAAATTGTTGTCTTGTGAAGCTTAGGTCCTGAAAACACCTGTTTGCGAGCGCGGAGGGAGCTGTCAAAATTGTCGTCTAGCGAAAATTGGTTTGCATTGTCCAGCAAAATTCTCCCATAGGAATCACTATAGCGATCGCAAAAAGCCAATGTCTAGCAAAAAAAACTGTCATGCGGGGGTAACTGTCTAGCGAGGCACCACTGATAGAATGCTATTACTTCTATACCGTGGTGTAAGTCAAACAATGTACACTATAGTGGCAGGTTGCTGCTAGTTAAGGAGTTGAGACATGTATTGCTTCTCATGGGCCAAGCCACAGGACTGGTCCATGATGGAGAAATACAAGCATTGTCATATTGACTATTTACACTCTGTAACTTAACAGTGGTATACATAGCTATCAAGGTTCTAACCATTATTTAGTTTCACAGCATAAATCAAAGAATAAATCTTACTCTATCAATCTCAGTTTTTATTTATTTGAAACATGTCATCTTTTGGTTGCAGTATTTGAGATAATTCTTGCATACTTGGAGAAAAGAGACTGGAAAGAAGCATTTTTCACAGTTTTGCCACAGAGGAAAGGAGCCAAGCCTCTGAATGAGACAACTGATGTGCCTACGAGCAAGTCTCAAGATTCTGAAAGCATTCAAGATGAAATCTCAGATAGTGACTAACCATCACATATTCATTAGTGGAAAGGGGCCACGGATACCAAAGTGTGGAAGCTGAATGTATATACAGCAGTGATACGCAGACTGCTCTGGAACTCTTTATGAAATAATGTAAATATATACTCCAATTTACAGTAGGAATATATATTTACCTATAAAATACTTGATTTTTAATATGTAGGTACTAAGCAAAATTGCAGTTAAGAGTTTTATGTTTCCCAAGGAAGCTGATATTTGATGGTGGTTATGGTTTTTTTGGACTCTGGCCATGTTCTGAAGGTTGTTCTTCTTAACATTTCACCAGTCTCTGTGGCCGGCATCTTCAGAGGACAGGAGTCAGAAATCTGTCTGTGCTCTGGTGCAGTTTGTTTGGCTAGTTGAGTTAGCTGATATTTATTTGTTATTTTTAATGTTTTCTTTTAATATTGCTAGAAGACAACTTTCTCACTCTGAAGCAGGTAACGGAATTTTAGACATAGTGAACCTTTAGTTGACTGAAATGTTTAACGATATCATGTTTATGTTCAATTTCTTCCTGTTTTTTCTGCCACTATAGTGTCTCTTGCTCTGCATGTTTGCTTATTTTTTGTGTAGTTTCAAGACTTTTTTGACGGGATGTCAAGTTCCAGTTGAAGTTCTAATATTGGACTGAAATAAAGATTTACTTTTTCCTCACCCCCTCAACCATCCTCTGTAAAAGTGACCAAAATCCTATTGGATAAGTTACAAGAAAGGTGATGGTGTCACTAGCAGAGGGAGATGTTTTTGTTGAAAACATCCTCCTTTTTTCCTGCAGCATGTTCTGATTCATGAGCAGTCCATTTCATTGCATGGAAGGTGTAGAAAGGAAGGAGGAAGTAATTAATTGCCCGAAATATCTGCCATTGGTTGACATCACTGACCGAGACATAATCTGTAATTAAAGGCTTCTTTCTTCCATCTTACAGCTCCTGCAGCTTCTGTGCAATGAAATGGGTTATGCACAAGTTGGACAGAAAGAGGAAGTCTAATTCCCAAAAAATCGCCCCTATACCAATGATATTAGCAGTCTTCCACAGGCATAACTTATACAATAGGATTTTGGTCACTTTATCTCATGTATGTAGAACCAGCACAGACATTTTTATTTTTTGCTGAATATGATTCCATTACAGCTGTCTAAAGCATTTTTCTCAAAAACTACTAAATTTTGAATTTGAACAGTGGAGGGCACATGTGGCTCACATATAGTCATTCTTGCGTTGGGGTGTTTTGTAAACATTGTTAATGGTGCGGCTAAAAAATCTTGTAAAATAAATAAATACATATTCTATATAACGGTTCCAAATCCCATTAAAACTTTGTTCCTTCAATAATCCTTTTCGAATTTTCAATTCACATGTTGCAATTTTAAAAAGTAAATCATTTATCTTTGCTTCCTTCTCAGGCAGTGTGTTCATCTTCTGGGCTCACATGATGTTTTGTTTCAACTTTTGATTATAACCAATATGTTTATATTGTAATTTTCAAGTGGCACTACTGGCTTATTTTGTAATAAATAAACCAAAAAATTGAGCTATCCAGGGAAATTGCTTGTTTCAAGACATGGGCAGCTTCCCTACCCAACACACATAGCTTCCCAGAAAAATCTATGACTCTGATAGCTCCCTTTAGGTCATGGAGTTAAAAAATAACCACCTCTGGGGAACAGCAGCAGCTGTCCTGAGTTTCGGGGATGTTCGAGTGGTGGCAAACTGGTCACGGCAGGAGGGCTATTGCCTAAGACAGCTGCCTAATTTTGGCACCATACACCACACTGCTGACTCACGGTTAGGTTGTTTGTTTAGTTGTTAAGTCATGGCAGACTCTTTGTGACCCCATGGACCAGAGCACGCCAGGCCCTCCTGTCTTCCACTGCCTCCCGGAGTTGGGAGGCAGGGTCAGACACAATATCAAAATCCTTTTTCAAGTACTTTTGCTAAACCAATATATTTTCTATCCTATACCTGCTGTTCTGTTTTGTTTTCCCCCCTAAATGCAGAACACTGCAGTTTTTCTTTCCAATTTTTTTGTTAGTTCTCAACTGTCCCTTTTTAATGGCAATTTTTATATCTCTCCCCTGCCCCATCTTTCAACACATTGATTTTGTGTAATCTACCAGGTTGAATAAGCAGTCCCTTGATTGAGTCATTGCAAAATTTATTGCATGTTGAAGTTCTTGCTAAAATCACTGTGCCAGTGTATTTTAATTCATTGTATACAGAAGTGTACCAAGAAGCACCTTAATCAAAACTTTTCCCCAGTTTGCTAAGAAATCAACAATGTCTTTGAATAGAGTTTGGCAGCCAACTGAAAATATAATCACTGGTACCACATTTGACTGGTGTGTTGACAATATGAGGCATTTTCTAAAACCTTTTGCTGAAATCAAGCCCTAGGTTAAAGAAAAAAAGTAATGGGAAATTCTAATTGATTTATCTTGGCTAACCTAACCACCTTAGGGTGTGATCCACAAATCCAGCAAGCGAGGAACTGTTTCTTGTTGCTGTTTATTCATGAAAATAATATGCAACCATAGTTTGTTTCATTTTTACTAATGCAGTAATACAGCCTTTAACCAAGGTTAATAATCACACCTTTCATATGATAATTTGCGTGGTCCTTCAGTATGGTGTGTTGCTGTGAAAATTGCAGGAATAACATGAGGTACAGTTACAGTCAGCTGCATACCCAAAGTGGTCAACAGCAAGGTTTTTGGTATCAGTGGAATGTAACTTAGTACTAGCCTGGGACACTAATCAACTGCATGGACACTAAAATACTTTCACCTTTGTGTTACTGTACTTCTAGGAGAGACTAAGGTAATAGAACAGCTGCAATGGAAACTTGAATCCTTTCAGTTTTCCCTTTGCACCCCCTTAAGAATGAGAGTGTCTGTTTTTGTTAAGTTTAAAGTATTGGTTTACAGCCAAAGCAGGCAATTTATGGTTTTCCAGATGATGTTGGAATGTATGCCACCAACAATTCTAGCCAACATTGCCAGTGGGACTAGATGACAGATGCCATCAAACTTTATTTGGAGGGCTATAGATTGCCTGCTCTTTGTAGGATGTACGCCCTCCACACCCCACTGGTTCTTAAGCAGTACGAACCTTCCACATAAGTGGGGTTACTAGTACGTGTTGCCCATCTCGTGCAATTTTTCACATCTTTTCAACTTTCCTGCGTACATATTGAACATTATAGTGTGGCTCCCTTTAAACCATAGGCTATTTCAGTTTTTTAAAAATTAATAATTGACTGCTTGTAGAAAAGGCTTTCATTCTTGGTACTAGTGCATTGCTAGCCTTTTAAGAGAATAGTCTCATGCAAAAAAAGGCATGCTTATTGTGCATTACTAATGTTTTTCATTTTACTGACAAGTTACAGTTCTAGTGATATGTTTAATGGCTCCCTAGAGTAAGCTGCCTAAATATGTGCCCAGGAATATTAGGTTGCAGTCTGAGCACTTTTATGAAGTGTTTGACATGGATGTATGACTGTTTAAATTAGTGTATCTGAGTCTTTTCAGTAACCCAGACAGACAGGACCCTAAAGACTGTAGACTCAGCTGTTGATGTCTGAGTAAAAGAGTTTGAAGATGTGCCGTATTGCTTTATTATAGTACTATGAAATGTGACCACCTCACCAGAATAGTCTTGTGTATCTCTTGTTTCTGTGCTCTGACTTGTTTTGGTTCTGCTTGTTTTGGTGGAGAACTCATGAGCAAAAAGAGCAGGTGGACATGGATATTGGATAGACGGAGGCACAGGAATCATTTTTCCCCATGCAACTTTAAGCTAGTTAGATTGCTATGCATTAGTTTAGAACATGCTCTCCAGAGCCAGGATCCAAAGGGCCATGTATGCCACACATACAGTTCATGGGACTTCTTTGTCTCCCAACCCACTGCAGCGCTTCTCACATGCGTGTAAAGCTTCCCAGAAGACTGGAAAACCATACATTATGATAGTCTATGTGGCACAAGGAGCTATGGCTGGAAAAAGAACTAGTTATCCTGCCTACATAGGTATATGCAGAAGGAGTTACTCTTTTGTATATGTACTTTGGATTCCATTATTTCTTGTAAAGTGCTGTGTAATATAGGAAGACTTTAATTCTAAAATAACTATCCTGCTATGGTAACACAGTATGTGTATAAAAATATGTTGCAACAATTCATATTTGTATTTGGCAGCATTTTTTTGTTATGGTTATGCATCTCCATGAGCAAATTACTCCAGTGCTGGCATGCAGGGTATGTGAGTATGCTGTTCCCACTGACCTCACACATGTGAAGCTGTAATTAAACTGAATTTTTAATTGTGGCTTCATATTGCTTTATTGGCCAAAATCTTCTTGCGTAGCTATGCAAATATGTAGCCCTTAGAGGCAAGTTGTTTCGAGTTTATTAACTACTATGTAGACATTAACAATTGCATACCGAATTACACAGCTCAGTGTGCAAAAGATCATGTCTGCTCATTTCTTGAGGCAATTCACCTCCAAAAGTTACAACATTTGTGTTACACTGGTGTAACTAGGCTAGAGGATTTTGGCAATTGATTTGTATGCACTTTGGCCTCATATCTTAAGGGGACAGTCAAGCTAGCCATTTCTTGCGTAGCTATGCAAATATGTAGCCCTTAGAGGTAAGTTGTGTCAAGTTTATTAACTACTATATAGACATTAACAATTGCGTACTGAATTACACAGATCATTGTGTAAAAGATGTGTGCTCATTTCTTGAGGCAATTCATCTCCAAAAGTTACACCATTTGTGTTGCACTGGTGTAACTAGGCAAGAGGATTTTGGCCATTGATTTGTATGCACTTTGGCCTCATATCTTAAAGGAACAGTTAAGCTAGACATCCAAGAAATGTCCATATAATTCTATATTCTGCCAGCATCTGTTGCCTTACTGATTAATAAAATTACAGTAAATTGATTTGTATGCACTTTGGCCTCATATCTTAAAGGAACAGTTAAGCTAGACATCCAAGAAATGTCCATATAATTCTATATTCCGCCAGCATCTGTTGCCCTACTGATTAATAAAATTAATTAAATTTTAAAGAATTTTGCTTGATTCACATATATAGCAAACACGTTCATGCACCTGTGATTTGAAAAGTATTGGCATTCTCCTTCACTATCCCAAAAAGGAAGGAAACATTCAAAATGGTAGTAGCACCACATTCATTTTTGCCTTCATGCTCAGGTTTCTTAATACGACTGATTTGAGATAATATCTTAGACAACCAATAGCTGTCAAAGCATTTTGCTTGATTCACATATATAGCAAACACGTTCATGCACCTGTGATTTGAAAAGTATTGGCATTCTCCTTCACTATCCCAAAAAGGAAGGAAACATTCAAAATGGTAGTAGCACCACATTCATTTTTGCCTTCATGCTCAGGTTTCTTAATACGACTGATTTGAGATAATATCTTAGACAACCAATAGCTGTCAAAGCTGAGGATGGGTGGGGGAAGAAAAAAGTACTGTAGCATGCCTTCATGCTCAAGTTTCTTAATACGACTGATTTGAGATAATATCTCAGACAACCATTCAGAAATGAGTCCCTCGATATTGACAAACCTAAAAAATAGCTGTCAACGGTGAGGATGGGTGGGGGAAGAAAAAAGTAAAATACTGTAGCACTTTTTAAAATTAACAGATTTATTTCAGTTTGCACTTTCATGAGTCAAGACCCACTTCTTCAGACACAGGAGTGCATACACATATCCCCTGTATTTATTTCCTGGTTGTGAGATTCATGTCCAGGTAAGAATATTGGTAATAGACAAATGAACAGTGTATGTTCACATAGGAGAGGGAAGCTCACACTGTTAATCAGGAAATCCCAGTCATGCTATAAGATTTGACTGTCATAGGAATCCTAAAAGTTGCATTTGGGAGAAAGGTCAAGGTCTGTTGAGGCAGACAACTTATATATACCCATAAGATATTAAAGAAAACTGGGTTGTAGAGTGCTTTCATGAGTCAAGACCCACGTCTTCAGACACAGGAGTGCATACACATATCCTCTGTATTTATTACCTGGTTGCGAGATTCATGTCTAGGTAAGGATATTGGTAATAGACAAATGGACAGTGGTTTGTTCACATAGGAGGGGGACGCTCACACTGTTAATCAGGAAATCCCAGTCATGCTATAAGATTTGACTGTCATAGGAATCCTAAAAGTTGCATTTGGGAGAAAGGTCAAGGTCTGTTGAGGCAGACAACTTATATATACCCATAAGATATTAAAGAAAACTGGGTTGTAGAGTGCACTGGGAAGCCTTGTTCTTTGCTGAGCCCTTAAGAGATTCATTAAAACTTGTACAGTGGTGCCTCGCTAGACGGTTATCCAGCATGACATTGGCTTTTTGCGATCACTATAGCGATTCGCAAAACTGTGATTCCTATGGGGGAATTTCGCTGGACAATGTTTGGTTCCTGCTTCGCAAACCGATTTTCGCTAGATGACAGTTTTGACATTCAAGGTCTGTTGAGGCAGACAACTTATATATACCCATATTACAGAAAACTGGATTGTACACTGGGAAGCCTTGTTCTTTGCTGAGCCCTTAAGAGATTCATTAAAACTTGTTTGTATAGTCAATTTCTTCTGTCTCCTTTATGTAGCAGAAATTGACTACATAACTAGAAATTGGCCACCATGAAATGCAGGGTACATGCCTTTGTACTTTGAGGCAGACAACTTATATATACCCATATTACAGAAAACTGGATTGTACACTGGGAAGCCTTGTTCTTTGCTGAGCCCTTAAGAGATTCATTAAAACTTGTTTGTATAGTCAATTTCTTCTGTCTCCTTTATGTAGCAGAAATTGACTACATAACTAGAAATTGGCCACCATGAAATGCAGGGTACATGCCTTTGTACTCCTGTGTTTGAAGAACTGGTGTTTAATCTGAAAACTCACACTGAAATAAACCTCTTGGTCTTTAAAATGTTACAATATTTTCCTTTTTTCTCCTTTTCACCAGTGTGCTAAGAGAGACTTAACACAGCTGCATCTTCGGAAACTGCAGAAAAGAAAGAGAGAAAAAGAGTGTGGATATGAGTTTAACGTGAATCCATAACTTATAGATTTGTAGGAAGCCTGTACACTGGGAAGCCTTGTTCTTTGCTGAGCCCTTAAGAGATTCATTAAAACTTGTTTGTATAGTCAATTTCTTCTGTCTCCTTTATGTAGCAGAAATTGACTACATAACTAGAAATTGGCCACTATGAAATGCAGGTACATGTCTTTGTACTCCTGTGTTTGAAGAACTGGTTTTTAATCTGAAAACTCACACTGAAATAAACCTCTTGGTCTTTAAAATGTTACAATATTTTTCCTTTTTTCTCCTTTTCACCAGTGTGCTAAGATAGACTTAACATAGCTGCATCTTCGGAAACTGCAGAAAAGAAAGAGAGAAAGAGTGTGGATATGAGTTTAATGTGAATCCATAACTTACAGATTTGTAAGAAGCCCAGTAAAAGTATAGTAAGTTATAGTCTAATAGATCTCCTAGAACTGACTTTTGTTATATTAGTCAAAAGTACATTCAAAACTCAAGTTTATGGAGGAATAAACTGTCATCTCCCTTCTGACAGCATGAAAAGTGCCAGGGTTGCTTTTTCTATTAAGAATCAGATGTCATGAATTCTTACAAAGCAGCAACAAAATTTATTTATTTCAGTGTACTATTCACGATTCAGATGAGAATTTGTATGCTCCCATCAAACTAGGTGGAACATAGCAGGTTTGTTGCTTCAGTGAAATCTCAAGAGGTCTGGGCTGATTATTAGATGTTTAAAGTACATGTTTTGGGGTGGTTTTTCTTAAATTGTGCATTGCTTTTCATAGGTGCTAAACATGAGTATATTCTCTTGAAGTCCTCTGCGACCGCTTAGAGCGTGACTTGCTATATAGCAACTGGGTGCTGTTTTGTGACGATGCTGGAGAATAGGCTTGACTTCCGTGGACTGTAGATCTGCTGGTGGAATGTTCTAACGGCAGGTGATCCGAAGTCGGGATTCTGATTTTTCCAGTCCTGGAGAGTAAACGACCTCTGTCTTTATCTAAAAGAGATTTTGCCAAGCAAAATTGCCCTAAAAATCAGAGCTATGAAGATCCCTTTTCATGCATCTGATAATGCAGCTATTACAATTTATGATACCATGAAAGTAATTGTGTGAGGTGCCAAATGGCAGGCAGAGCAAGTTGGGAGAGGGAGGCTTAGTCTTGTTTTGCTAAATTACTTGAGTTCTTCTAGTCTCCTGAAAGCAGAACGTCATTTTTTTGGGGGGGGGGGGTTCAATTGCTTAAAACTTACCTTGTTTTGATCCTTTATTGGTTGCTGGAATTTGGCTTGGAGTCCTAAAGGGAAGAAGGAAGGCTTATGTACTTCAAAATAACATAAATATTAGATACATAAAACCTGATGAGGAAAAAGAGACAGAAGAAAATTCACAGTATACAGAATATAAGGAATTAAATAAAAGGATACATTGCATGCCACAACAAGCTACTGTATTATGTTATTTTTTGAAATCTGCCATGTGCAGTGGAAATGTATATGCTCGTAAGTCCTGATTCGAAAGGACAATGTGAATTCATGGTTTCTGCTTGGCTTACAAATTCTAACTGGTTTAAGCCAGTGGTTAACCTTGGGCCTCCAGATGTTCTTGGACTACAACTCCCAGAAACCTTCACCACCACCTCTGCTGGCCAGGATTTCTGGGATTTGAAGTGCAAGACCATCTGGAGGCCCAAGGTTGGGGACCACGGGTTAAGCCATGGCTTGCTCTGCTGCATAAATCCACAACCATAGCTTCTTTTTTGCTTCCTTTCCCAGTTTTTCACCCCAAAATGGTAGATAGCAAAAGGGGCAGAATCAAACTAGAAGGAGGAAAGATAAACCATGATTTGTTTGGTCTTCAGCAATGTAAGCAAAAATGAATGGATAACACAAACCATGATTTATTGTGATGTGCAAGTGCCTGAATTGAGCACAGTGATCTAAGCATTGCTTCCTTTTTTTCCTATTTCCTTTCAGTAAATATTCTAAGTACAGGAGTATTAACATCATCACTTTTCAGCTTTCTTTATTATAGTGAGTAGTTCTTAGTTCAGGATCTCAGGAACAAATAAGCTTCCGCATCTGTCATTTAAAATTGATCACTGCAGTAAAGTCCAATAGAAAGCAAATTTATTTGATCACTGGGCAGTTGTGCCCAGTTCCCATCCAATTTATTATCTTGGAAGTACTGCTTTAAAATATGACCTGGACATTTTTAATTATGCCCCCATTACAACTGATTTGCAGGTTGTGCCAGTATGTATGTGTCATTTGTGGGCTGAAATTTACAACCAAACATCTTTGGAAATGAAACTGACTTTATTTCTTGCATGACACACTTGTGGACAGAGCTTTAAAAGTTACTTCTTAAAAGTAATTTATTTTCACTACTCACTATAGTGTTTGAAAAGTAATCCCTTGCCATTACTTGCTAGTGTGGGGAAAATAACAAATTACCTCTTGCTTTTTACTTTTCTATTACTTCTCAATATTTCTTTAAGACAAAAAATTTAGAGAATAAGAGAATTGATGAAACTTGTAAAGTTCTCATGTTTCTTGTAACATTTTAAAGTAGCTCTACAAACTAATTAGAAAATTAGAAACTTCATTCTCACTTGTAAAATTTCTTTTGAATTATTCGTTCTATCCTGTTACAAACAAAGAAAACTGTTTACATTAATTGTGATCCTTGTAATATGTTTTTTTTCCCCAAGCTCTATTTCTGGAAGAATAAATTATGAGAGTTGCTGTAGTGCCAAGTAAAGTTATAAAACACAGCATTTCCATATTTGCTGAGCAAAGCACTGGTTGTGAATAATCTCTTAAATCTAGGTCAATGAATTCTGACAATCAATTTCAAATAAAAAAATGGATTTAGTAGGATTTTCATACTAAACTCTTGGCTCTCCAGATGTATTGGTCCACAGTTCTCATGAAGAACAAGTTTCTTTTTGGCAAGGGGGTTGGGGAAAGGACAGCACAAAAAACCAACTAAAAACATGGATGTTTCGGCAGGCCTCCCCCCCCAGCCAATTCCTGATCTCCCCTTTCTTTCCTCTCCCCTATTGTCTGTCCTATCTTGTTGAAAGTTTCTCGTTATGTAAAAATCGTTTTTATATATATTGTGTATTCTTTGTTGTAAGGCGTCTAGAGTGGTCTTAACTGACTAGATAGGCGGGATATAAAATGAATGAATGAATGAATGAATGAATGAATGAATGAATGAATGAATGAATGAATGAATAAATAAACAAACAAACAAACAAACAAACAAACAAACAAATAAACAACCTTCAGATTGGGAGTTGTAATTTGGTTCAGTAGGTAGGAACAGCCAATTTTCCAAAATTAAAGTCAATGAACATTTTTACCTGATGAGCATAAGGAGATGTTTCTTCAGTTTGTGGTTACCTCTCTTTGATGTGAAGTCCCCATGAACTTTCCCAGCATGGCCAGTGATAAAGAATTATGAGAGTTTTAGTCCAGAACATCTGAGGACCCAAGATTTTCCATCTCTCTTGCCAATGCTCAAACAAAGCATATGCTGAAACATATGATAATTTTTCTATCTCGCTCTCTTTCCTAGAGCAAGTTCTCTAAATTTACCTGACTTGGTTTGTGTCATCTGCTGTTCCTTGCTGAACTGCTTGCTGATTCTTCAGCATACTCTGCAAATTCAGCCTCTCTGCTTCATTTTCCTTCTGCGGTTTTTGCTGATAATTTAGCAGCTCTCTGCTGGTTATATCAGCACGTATGAAATTCGACACAAATTCCTTCTCTGAAACACCAGGAACATGGGGCAGCTTCTGTTTAAAAGGGATGCCTTCCAACTCAAAAACAGGCACAATATCACTGAAATGTAATACAAGCAATTGACAGTGCAAGGTTTTTTGAGAGTAGAGATGGGCATGAACCTCTGTCTTGGCAGTTCAGCATGGTTTGTTTCCTGACTGAACAGCTGACCCATGATTTGGCATCCCACCCTTCCAGTAGGCATCCACTCAGAGGCAATGCCCTGAGGAGGTGGGGTGGAGTGCTGCTGCTAATTGGATGCCTGCTGGCAGAGGGTGGGGCCCCAAATCATGGGTCAGCTGTTCAGCCAGGCAACGAACCACTCCGAATCGTTGAGCCAACAGTTTGTGCCCATCTCTGTTTGAGACCTTGGAAATTTTACTTTTTTGAAAAAAAACTTCCATATTCTGTAGTTTCAGTCCAAAAAAAATGATATTTCCATATTCTGGTGCTCTTCTGTAGGCAACGTCCATCCTCCTTCGTTGCTAAGAATGTTTTGCACAAGCCCATCATGTAGACAGAACATCTCCAGAAACAGAAAAAGATCTCTGTGGACGTCAGTAGGTCCTGAATGTACAGAAGGTCCACTGCTTCAATGTGACCTAGCCTTGTAAGGAATCCAGAAGATATCTGAATTGGTAATCTTACCAGGGAGGTAGGACAGTGCATATATATACGTCTCTCTCTCTCTCTCTCTCTCTCTCTCTCTCTCCACACAAACACACACACACATATATATACGTACTGTCCTACCTCCCTATATATAAAAACTGACAGAAATGAAGATCTTTTGCCTTAACCTTTCTTTAAACAAATGTGATCTTAATGTAACTCATCTGTGTTATGAAATATCACAATGTTGTGAGATGAAATCTTCCAAATTAAACATCACAGCCACCAGAGTTTCTGATTGGAAGGAATGATGATGATCTGATTAGAAAATATCTAACACCAGTTGTATGCCTCTTGAGATATATCTCAAACATAAGTTGCAGGAATCACCCACCCACATATGCAGCTTCCTATTTGCATGGTCAAAGATCAGTTCACGTTCTACCTGTGCACATTTATTTTATTTTATTTTTCATACCTTGAAGAGTTGCCTTTCCCAGCCATTCTTGGATCTCTGCAAGGGAGTCTGTCTGTAAAATATCACGAAGCTTCTCAAGGATCTAGGGGAAAGGCAGACTACTATTCAATGGAGGAATTTCAGCTAGATCTATTGTTCAGCTATTACAGCTGTGCAAGTTTTGAGAATGTTAACTGCATGTCTCTCTTCAACAATGCTGGGGTTAGGGGTGCAGGACCCCCCTGTAGTTCAAAATCCATCTATAACACTCATGCCCCCAAAACATAACTACAGAGCATAAACACTTGGTTCATATATAGAGACACACAGACGTCCTCTGACCCACATCAGCCTCCCTGCATGCCCTGACACCCTCCCTGGCCACTGCATGGAGCCACAATACCAGGAGAGGGGGACCATCTGGGCTGCTGCCATCAGATCGGGGACTGTCACACTGCCAACAACAGGGGCTTCAATAAGTCTGAGTTCCACCTTTCTCAGGCCACTTCCTGGAGTCAAATAGCAACATAGTATTTATTGATTTTTTTTCATATTATTTATTTTAAAAAATCAATGCATAACTAAATCTGTGTTGCTCAAAACCATGCAATTCAAGGGAGAAGTGTACATTTTTTGTAGAATTTGTCTGGCTCAGGATTAGAGCTGAGCTTGAAAATGCATGCACATTTTATGTGAGTGCAGTACATGTTCTCACACTGGGCATACAATGTCACTTAGTTTACACAGTTCAATTAATTTTGTTCATACATGCATGGTATGTTCTGATTACAATATTGTCCTTTTCCTATGATCTCAGTTGATGGGATTTAAGCAAATTGTAACTGAGGAAACAAAGGGCAAGGTGTGTGTATGAAATTTTGCAATTTCTCTAGCTCCACAAATAATGTACTGTAATTTATCCATTATAGTTGAGCAGGATCTAATCTAGAATTGCAAAACACCTGTTTTTACGTCTATCTGAAATTTTGGGGGGACTCTGACTCTGTCCTCCAGTTAGATCTACTATAATGAGATCCAGTTTTCTTATTTTTCTGAAATTATGAAAGCTGAAACTTGTTGATCCTTCCCTTGAAAGTACTGTATAGTAATATTGTAATTTGTTGCCATTAAGTAATAGAAATAGATGCTATTTTCAAGATAATTCTTGGGTATCAGTAATTTCAGCTCCTGTCTGCAGGCTTCATGCATTATTCCAGGGGAACAGTGACAACACAAAAGAATGCAGGACTCAATAAGACTGTTTCAGACCCCTTTCTGTGGAAAGTTTACAGGAGAATCAGTGCATATTCTCTTATCTCAGCATTCATATATTCTGTAATCTAAGAACCACTCACTTTGCGGCTCAGTTGAGCACTCATCTGAGAACTTAACACCTCCCCACAATCCATCATGTGACTTTTTTTGTGATGGTGGACTAGAACCGAAGGAAGCCTGTTAAGGCACCTCGGCACATACTGAAAGAGCCATCAGAGTGAAATTCTCACCACAAACTGTTTAAGCTCTAAAACATTTCAAGTGGGGCTCTGTGCAGTTTCAAGACTGCTGTTTGCAAATTTATAGAAGACCACTCAGGAAGTTCCAGTTATATATAACTAACCTGTCCTTCTGCTGTTTTGGTACTCTGAAAACTCACTGGACTTGATGAAGAATTTCATTAAACTTAAAAGCTTGTATCACACATATCCCAACATTCTTAACTTTTTAACGGGAGTATTGTCACCGACAACACATTTTCAAAAGTTGTCTTTTCAGTAGATTTAAACAGGTTGGTTGCTTTCACACAGACAGTGTAATCCAATGATGTTACTCACAAGTAATTTCGATATTACTTACTTTCGAATAAGAATGTGCAGCATGGTAGCCTGAGGGTACTATATGCCATCCTTCTATTTCATCTTACACGAGGGAGGTATGTAATATAGGAGATATGGGAATATATGGAAATATAATTATTGACTATATCTTACTTTTATTTCATGCTCCAAATAAGATGGGGTATAATTAAAATTCTCTGTGATTTCTGGTCTGTAACGCATTGCCTGGCCAGATGAAAGACGGTGGTCCGGGGCAGTTCTACTATGTGGACGATCTCCAAGATACTTCCTCAAAGGATCATCCTGAAGACAAAGTACCATATAAAGAGAAGCAAAAGAAATACAATTCCCTTCCTCACTTTTTTTCTGTTCAAGTGTGGTAGCACTAGAATACACAGTTGACCTTTGGGTTCTTCAGTCCCATGCTAGATGGATGTTTTCAGTGGTCCTAATCTATGATAAGTAATGCAGTAATCTTCTCCGAACTGGTGTGCCTTTCACATTATGGTGGATGACAACTTCCAGAATGACACAGTGGCTTGAATCCTGTTGGTGTAAGTTATGTCCTAGTTTTCTGATGATATCATTAATCACAGCATTAAAAGCTTCCCATTGCTCTGCTCTACACCATCAGGCTCTGAGGATCCCTAGGGATCCCCTGTCTTGGGGCAGCCTTTGGGAACAGTGAGAGGAAATGGGGAATAATTTAAAGCCAGAATATTTTTGTTGGCTGGTGAGGAGGAGTGAGAAGTTTTTTATTTCCTGAAACAGCCCCAGCGTGGCCATGGCTGATGACATCACCAGAGTGCCAGGGCATAACCTCTGCCAACAGGATTCCAAACTCCAATTCCCAGAAACTCCTAAGTGGAGGAAGACCATCTGTAGACATCCCCTGTGTTTATGCCTGTAGAAACTGAAGCTTCCATTCACAAGATCATACACGCATCTGCATGTACAGGAGTTGAACAGTCATTCGGTTCTATTGTTTGTTCTATTGTTTTGTTCCTTTTGGGGGTATTTTCATGTTTTAAAAATAAAACCCGATCAGAGAATGTCAGTTATTGGGCAGGTTTAAAATGTGACAAATATGTGTAGATTCATGTTGAGGCTTGCTAAACCATATAGGGGGCTGGGTTGTCAGACCAAAGAGGCAGCGAGCATATAACTCTGTTTATCCTTTGTGTGTTCAGACAAAGAGAAGGCAGGCTGAGAACATGGCTAGAAATACATTCAAACAAGCCCTTGGAACAAAATATTGCAGTGTTCCTGTTCAGGATGCAGAGAGAGGAAGACGCCTTGGTGTGTGGATACAGGCTTTAAAATTAAAACCAAAACAAGACCCAAAGTGTTTGATAGTGCCTTAAAATACATGCAAGAAATGCAAGAACAGAGACATTCTGTGCATTTTTCCTGTGGTTTGATGGGGTGGTTCAGAGGATCTGGCTTTAAAAGAAATCTTGGTGATCTGAAATACTGACGGTGCTAGAAATTGCTTTTCTAATTACTGTACCTTTCGCTTTAAAAGCGGGGTGTTCCCTGCTCTTTTTGTGAGGTCCACTATCTCATCTCTTGCATGATCTGGAATAGAAGAAAGTTTTTTGATAAATTAGTGTTGAAATGGTTAAGGATTAAAAACTACTAAAAACAACAGCCCCACAATTCATCGTGATGTTTAGTGGAGGGAGAATGTTTCCAATTCAGGTGTGGGACACTGTAGTACTAGCACACAGGAGATCAGTTAGTATTGTGCTCATAATTTTGTCCCATGAGAATTCTAGCCATTCTTATTGGAGATTGGAAAGAGATTCCTTGCAGAAAAAATGCTGATGATGTGTAAATTCTTGAAAACTTCTCATGACTGAGGCTCAGGATTACCCTACCTTGCCAGGTCAAGGACGTGTCAAATGTTCTCTCTTTCATTGTACAATCATCTTCGTCAGGATTACCCTACCTTGCCAGGTCAAGGATGTGTCAAATGTACAATCATCTTTGAGCTAATTGGCAGCTCTACCACTTCCCACATCTCAAGGATAGGGACCATAAGACAATTGATTTCATAGGCTGTTTTAAGGTCAGGAATTGGGCAACCAGGGAAGTTGCAAAGTGATAAGGAGAGGTGTAACAGAAAGCAAACAAAAGGCACGCATGGAGGAAACAGAATGGTAGCCAAGGTGCCCAACAATTGTTTTTGTAACTAGTTATAGTGGTGGTGAGGGGACACCCAAAAGTTCATCATGAGCAACGGGGGAGGGGGGACCCTCTGCTATAACTACCTCTAAAGTTCAGCTGCACCTTTGAGAAACTGTTAGAGATTTTCCCTGTCCCTTTGAGAAGTCTGGTGAAATTGTCTTCCCAAATTTTCCCGCTCACAAATAGTAGGGAGAATTTTGGGGAGCCATTCGCTCAGAGTTATAACATAAATATTTTCATAAATAAGGTACAGCCCTGTGCCTGCATCTGCTGGAGAACAATCAATTCTTCAGCAGCAGCTAATTTTGAAACAGAATTTGAGGAGGTGCTGAGACAGGTCTTCTTCCAGAGACTGGAGAACGTTTTGTTTTGTTTTGCATGTTAACTCCCACTAGCTATTGTGGCTGGGGAATTCTGGCAGCTACTGTCCCAAAGAATAACTTTCCCAAGCTCTAATCTCCCTACAAAGCACTCTTGGCTGTCAAGTCAGAAATTCACCCAGAGACAGCAGGAGAGATTTGGGTTCCTGGGCTTTTAGCTGCTGATGTTTATTGGAAAAGGTAATGGGGAGAAAATAATTCAGATGTGTGAATCTCAGAAGCCTAAGGCAACAAACCAACTTGATCACCGTCTGATCTTTATAGGGAGAATTCGAGCTATAATTTTGAAGTAGAAGGTTCATATCACTGTATAGTGATAAGAGTGGCTCCTTACCAGTAACATCCTCCCTCCGTTGGATCTGTACCAGGTTTGGCAAAGTAGTTCTGGGAAGAGAATTATCAGCAGCTGTTCCAGCATTTCTGTAAAACTGACCATGATCAGGGCCTGGTATGATGAAATGTCCTTCATTGTAGCCTCGATCTTTAACGACACAGACAGGTGTATCGTTTAATCCTGGGAAAGAAACCATGGCTTTAATGTTACACTTTCCTTATTTGTGTGATTGAATCTTCTAAAAGGATGCAATCCAAATGTAGATCATGAACCACATCTTGGTTTCTTAGGAATGGCTCATCTGTGCATCTGCACTTGACTATGCAAAGTTCAGGGCTCATTGGCACTCATCACAGGCGTATAAAATTAAGGGGCTCTTCTGTATGTGCAAAGGCGCTATTAGAGATTTATCAGCACAAAAGGAACAACCATTTAATTGGCTGTTCAAAGAAAAGTACTGCATTTGAGTTGACATTGTTCAGTAGGAAAACGCTCGTACCAAGTCAGAAGTGGACCCCTTTGTATTGCCTGATATTGCTAACACTGACAAGAGTTTTAGGCATGCTTCTTTCCTAGCCAGAAACGTTCTGTCACTGATCTGCAGCCCCTTCCAGAGGCTATATTAACTAGCCTAAGAGGAAGAAAGCATATTAGCATAGTTTGTTAATTTATCATATTTCATTAGCTGCTGTTGGCTTGCTCTAACCCCTGATAAATGTGAAAGAAGGTCATTAGTAACAGTCATTATTGTGTCTAGAAGTAATACAAGCTGTGCATGGTCTGGAAAGAAATCCTTTTCATGGACAGAAATAACTGAAGCAATTTTTCTAAGCTCTGTTATTATGCAAACAGAGACAAATGGTGATTGCTTTACATCCTGCAAACACTAAGTGCATTTTAACCCACTCATGCCATGCATAAAGCCAGCCATTTCTCTAGAAAACCAAAATCAGATGCAGAGATCAGCATTGAAGGATGCTTTTACCTTTCATGTGGCATACAGTCTTAGGATGTGGGGTATGTCTGCAAGCAAAATAAGTTGTTTTCCCATATGGGGTCAGCTGAGGCTCAGGTTGTGCTTTGAAATTGATGTTCATGCTACAGCTTTTCTGTTCTTGTTAAAATTCTTGATGAAGCAGCGAAGAGCGGCATCTCATCCGGAAAGCTCTGTTACTGGCAGTGTGGAGGAAATAATGGTCACACATGTTCACATGACATACTCTTTTGAGATTTCCTACCTTTTTTAAAAAAACTCCTTTTTACATATCTTTTTGGGTAAGTACTGAGAAGGAAGGTTACAAATAAAAATGTCAAAAGCAGCAAACATGTTATATACACACTGAAATTGTGTGTAATACTGAGAAGGAAGGTTACAAATAAAAATGCCAAAAGCAGCAAATGTGTTATATATAAAAAAATAAGCGTTTCATTCTTCAGAGTCATTTCGCTGAATATTATCATTTTGCAATGGAGTGCGCTCTGTGTTATGTTCACACACACAAATCTGTTCCATTGAAATTGTGTTTAGTGTGCCAGCAAGCTGATTCTGACTTACGGCAAACCTTGTAGGATTTCCAGAATGTCTGAGATATTTAAGTACTGTAGTAGTTTTACCAGTGCTCCTCAGCAAGTTTCCACGGTCAAGTGGAGATTGAACCCAAGTCTCCTGAGTCCTAGTCAAACACTCTATCCCCTACACAACACTGGCTCCCTCACTGAAATTAATGGGAGATCATTCCAAAGTATAGTTCTTCCAGACCGTCTATAATACAACTAGGACAAACCAGACAATGAATCACCCTATCGCTTCCAGCTCAGAAATGTTTACATGGCTGGATTCTGCCTCCTCTTTACTTTAATTAAAAGACAAAATGAAACAGAACTGAAATCCTTATAAAAATGTATAGCTCAAAGAAAACACCTGCAGAATAGGCTGAAGAGGAGATATATTTTGCTCAACAGTGAAAGCTTTGTAGAATTTTTCTTATTCTATACTAGTTCACAGGTAGCTAGCTTCTGCTGAATCAGGTATTTTGGCTTTTTTTGAAGCTAAACTATCTTTTTTTTTTTTTGCTGAAGAGGCAAAGCAGTTTTTGCAAAGGCGTATTAAGTCTTTATCACAGCCTCTTTGAGACTGTCAGACCTCAACATACCTATTGCTGTCTGTCACTCACCCTTCTCCTCACTGAATATCTCAGGAAAACAAGCAAGTAGGCACAGAAGAAACAGCACCTTCACTTTGGAACCTAAGAATTTTTCTTTCTCCAGGGTTCTACATACATCACTTCTTTTATGACATCTTCCAGCTTCATACAATGGCAACGTAAGCATGGGGTTTCTCAGTTCACTGTGAAGTAAGGAAGAAATGATTGCATTCCACACTCCTTACTGGGAAAGGTATTTATTTATATGGTTGCTCAGCTTACATGAGTTGATCATGCCAGTGTGAAACAGAATAAAGTTTTACAATATATATTGGCCACTGAATTAACATCAGGCAGAACAGAGAAAACTATCCGAATAAAGACTGGCTGTGTTTTGTTCACAAACTAAACATTCATCGCTGTGTATGGCTCTATAATAGGAATAAACCAGATTCTTAAAAATGTTACATTCTTTACAATATAAACACCCATCTTGAAGACACTTTCAAAATAATAATCTTCTGTCATTTGAAAAGAGAAATATATTGTTTTTATGCAATACCTTTAACAATCTGCCCACTGCAGAAATTCCCTACATATTTTGCTAAAATGCAACAAGCCTAACAGTTTATACTTACAGGGTATGCAAGGAAATTGCACCATCCTGTGCATTGAAATTTAGGATAAAGCTTGTGCACCACAGTGTGGTTCAGTACGCCACTAGATGGCGATGTTTCATACCCTGCAGTATGCCACAGAGGAGCATTTTCCCCGCTTTTGGGACCCTTTAGCAGCAGTGTTTTGCTCAAATCTGTAAGACACTAGTCTCTACATATGAGTCATTTAACCTACCCTGTTCTGCCTTATCTGAGATTCTGAAACAGGGCATATTAATAACCAAGACAGAACATTTTTCATCTTTTAAAAACTTAATATTTAATATTTGTTGTTCTTATTGAATATTTAAAGCATTCTTAATCTTACCATGGATTCCAGTTTTACTACATTCCCAATGTAGTGTAGTGGACAGAGTGACGGACTAGGACTCTGGAAAATAGGGTTCAAATCCCCACTCAGCCGTGGAAACTCACTAGGGGAATGGAACTGGTAAAATCACTTGTTATCTCACTTCCCTTGAAAGCCGTTTAGTCATTAAGTCGTGTCCGACTCTTCATGACCCCATGGACCAGAGCATGCCAGGCCCTCCTGTCTTCCACTGCCTCCTGGAGTTGGGTCAAATTCATGTTGGTAGCTTCGATGACACTGTCCAACCATCTCATCCTCTGTCGTCCCCTTCTCCTCTTGCCTTCACACTTTCCCAACATCAGGGTCTTTTCCAGGGAGTCTTCTCTTCTCATGAGATGGCCAAAGTTGGAGCCTCAGCTTCAGGATCTGTCCTTCCAGTGAGCACTCAGGGTTGGTTTCCTTCAGAATGGATAGGTTTGTTCTCCTTGCAGTCCAGGGGATTCTCAAGAGTCTCCTCCAGCACCACAATTCAAAAGCATCAATTCTTCGGCGGTCACCTTTCTTTATGGTCCAGCTCTCACTTCCATACATCACTGCAGGAAAAAACATAGCTTTGACTATGCAGACTTTTGTCAGCAAGGCGATGTCTCTGCTTTTTAAGCTGCTGTCGAGGTTTGTCATCGCTTTCCTCCCAAGAAGCAAGTGTTTTTTAATTTCTTGGCTGTTATCACTATCTGCAGTGATCATGGAGCCCAAGAAAGTAAAATCTGTCACTGCCTCTGAAGCCCTGTTAGAGTTGCTATAAGTCAGTTCCGACTGGACAGCACAGAAAACACACACAAAGAATATGCCACATCACGAACACATGATCTGGGTGGAAGGACTCTGTGGGTGTTGTGACTTGCTATTCTGTCTACCATGTGAATGTGTTTACATACAAGTCTTCACCAGGAATGCAGGTCAATAGTCTGGTGAAAGGAATTGAAAATTGCAAGAGAAAGCATCTCCTTTGTATTATTAATGTTGAAATGCTTTTAAACTAGTTGCAGTTTGATTGTGTTTTAATACCAACACGTTTTTATTTGTAACTGTTTTGAATCTTATGGTGGGCTGCCTTGAATCTCAGTTTTGAGCAAAATATAAGATGTATTTTTTTACATGTACTGTATTTCCATTTTCTTCATTGACTGGAATTCAAGGCAAAACGTAAATGACGCTAAATTTAAAAAGACAATAAATGTATACTGTATTTCATTCACTGTTGAGTACTTGGCACCGGATAAATGAGTTGTCGTCTGTGGAGTGAGCCCACAGCTGGATGGTGTCCTCCAGGACCTCTGAGGGTAGTTTAAATGGCACAGGATAAGCTGGGAATCCTGTTCGACTGGTATATCCCGAGGAAGAAGAAAGCAGTCTGTGTTTAGAAGCACTGCATCCTTAAAAGGAAAAGACAGCTTGGTTATTTAAACAGAATAGCTTGGCTTTGTTTGTGTATCTGCTGTCTCAGGGCCATAGCACTAAAAGGTTTGCCTGACAGGAGGAATGATATTGCAAGAGGAGGAAACACAGATTTCCATTAAACTGTGTCGTAGCCTTCAAGGGTCAGCAGGATTGGCTGGGGGGGCCTGCCACTGCCGATTCCAGCCTGCAGTATCTGCGACATGAGGCCATTGTCTCCCTCTGTCCTAATGACAGGACTGGCCCATCATGATTTGAGGCATAATTTCTAAAGGTGCAAGGTGCTGAAAATAAGGACCCAAACAACAACAGTTGCTTCAAGCAACAGTGGGAATCTGGAAACCCGATTGAGGCCTTGGGGTAATGGTGTTATTTCTATTCATGTAGCAATCCTAAGGCTAACACAACTCTGACAAGTGTTGATTTGAGCCAAATAATCCCCAGTGTCAGACCAAAGGGTGCAACCAGACAGGGAAACAGCTTGCATTTTGGACTCCATGTGGACCAGTCCAGTGCAGGGTGTTGTTTTCTGGTGAGCACGCAATGTATGGGCAATAATGATTCGAGCTGACCTTCAATCCATCCAATCCATGCCCAAGCTGGACCCCTTTTGGTCTAATGGCAGAGCTAGTCTTTTGGGGGACTGGCCTGGAGCAATTCCTGCTGGACAGAAGGATCACTTTATGGGAGACCACCCTTAGCAAATCAACTCTTTCCAATGCAATCAGATGCAATTCTTTCTGACCATCTGATCACATCCTAAGTATACTATATTCACCACCAACCCTCCATCTATCCAATATTAGCAGCAGTGGGTGTTAGGGGAAAGGTGGGGAGAATATCCTTCACACCACTTTCTTCCTCCCCAATGTTTTTTTGTTTTGGTCAATAAGATATACCTCTGGCTGTGGAGCCAGAGGTTGGGAGTTCAATTCTCTACTGTGCCTCCTTGATAGAGGCTGGATGATCTATAGGGTCCCTTTCAGCATTGCAGTCTGATGATCTATAGGGTCCCTTCCAGCATTGTAGTTGTAAGATTATACCCTTGAACTGTTCCCAGACTTTTACATGAATGGGCCAATTTCTTATAGCATAAAAGATTGTGTTTGTGTTACATTATCCATGTGCAGCTTGGTAATGTTAGATCGTGAGAAGTTTGTTTTACACTTAGGTATTGTTGGGAGGAATGTGTTCACCCACAAAACTTTGGTTCAAATATTTCAGCTGACATCAGTCTTCAGAAATCACCATATTATTTTCTTAATGAGCTCAAGTATTGATCTCAGTTAAAAAGCTACACAAAGCACTTAATGTAAAGAAAGCACCTTAGCTAGCAGAATGGGGGAAATCAGCTCCATGGCTCTGAATGCAACATTCACATATGCCTGATATTATACAGGGAATTCAGAATTTCAGTTATTCAGTTGTTTAGTCTGCCCAGCTCCTTCTTACATAAACACATTCTGCAATCCCATAAAATTGGATAATCTAGGCTACAGCAACCTTTCACTCCTAAGAAAACCTACTTGCCTTCATAGCCGATTTTTAAAAATGCCAAATAGGACTTTCTTTTACAAGTGCATGTGTTTTACATTTCATGATAGTAATACTTGTCTTACTGAGCAACACAGTGCTATGTGAAGATTTCAGGCTGTTACAGATTATGAAATTATTTACACAAGCTGAAAAATCAATAAAATTGAGGGCTAAGAGCCAGTCAGGAGAAAGCTTGTTATCATTAACTAGTAGGGAAAAGCAGATGGAGAACCTGAACCTCCATGGAGAAGAGTGAAAAGCCATATTTTAATTTAAAAAAACTTGTTTTACTGCATAATTGACATAACCAACATTTCCTGCACTGATAAAAATGATTACCACCACTGCAGGTTTTAGCACAAGGAGAGATTAAAGGGGCTGGGTAGCTCAGTGAGCTGGGGTATCTGGCAGGGGGTAGGGAGTTTGATTCCCCACTGTGTGTTGCAGGAGAAGAGCCCATCTTTGTAGTCTCGGGTAAACATCAAAGCTCCAGGTCACCCTACAGAAGGAGGGGAATGGTAAACCTCTTCTGAATACTCTGTACCTAGAAAACCCAGGCAAAATTCACCATAAGACAAAATTGACGTGGCAGCATAATTATTCATTATTAGAGCATGAGCAGCAGCCCAAGACATTTTGCTGTCTGAAGCGGAAAAGCAAATCTCTCTTTCTCACACACACAGAGGAAGCTGCATTATACTGAGTCAGCCTTTTGACCCATTTAGCCTTATATTGCCAACTCTGACTGGAAGCAACGGGTCTCCAGTGCTTTAGACCTTATCCTTCTGTAACCTTACCTGGAGATCCTGGGTATTCCCTAGTAGTCTCCGATTCAGGTGGTGACCAGGCCAAAAGCTGATTAACTTGTGAAATCAGATATGTTCAGAGTGATACGGTGGTATGTCTCGTATTGAAGAGCAGCCATATTACAAATGTTTTGCACATGTGATGTATATTTGAAAAGAAATAAGTGAAACAGATATTTAAATATGTAGGATCTTGTCAAAGAGGAGCTATGTTCTTGGCACACACAAAAGCTTCACGTTGTGTATATACCTTGAACATCCCATCACTGGGGAAAATATTTTGAGCTTAATCATTGATCATGATGGACTTTGCTGCTATATACTCAAGTTCATGAAGATA